CAACAATGAGATGTTGCGATGTTTTTAGCTGTTAATGATAGCTTTGAGGTTTTTTGTCCCATTGATATATAAAGGCTTAGCAGCTCTGTTTGATCCTATTGATTCAGAGTTTTAACATGAGTTTACTTTGAAGATCTGCTCTCATTAACTCCGTACCGTACCCTCAGATCATCAGGGCTCCCTCCAAAAGAGCAAGCCTGCCAGGTTGGGAATAGTTGATATTTACACTAGAAGCTGTGAGTTTAAAAGCTCCAAAACAAGTCAGAGAAAGGTCCAATTAGATATTCTGCAGAGATGTGTACCCAACAACAAAGGAACATTTTGAACGGAGCTCTCCAGGGTAATTGAATGATATTTCAGCGCACGCAGCATCACAGTTTGGCAGCAAAACATAGAAATCAACCTTTGCTTTCTCTGTTGAAAAAGGCAAAAGGGACTGTTTGGTTTTGTGTTATGCCACCACCTGTGTGTATTTGATTTAAATTGTGCTCCTGAACAATATCTGTCCTCTTTCTGAAGGTTTTTTCTCTCCCCTCTCTTTTCGCCCTCTCCTTCCCACTTAAAGCCTTAATCCTTGGCTCTCATCTTGGATGCCTCATATTTTTAGTCTAATTAAACATGTCCTCCTCTGCCTCTCATAGATTTTGATCTTCTTGACAGAGCAGCTGTCTCTCCGTTCAGCTCCCGTACTCAAATTGTCATCTGTTTCTCTCTCGGTTGCTCCTTACAGAGCCCTTGTTTCTGTTTTCCACCTCACTATGCACTTTAACGTTCTGCATGGCTGATGCCTCTGTCCTCTGGCTTCGGAGTCTGAATCATCCCTTTCCTGGCAGCCTGTTTACCTGGAATCTCTGCTTTGAGAAGACTTCTTCTACTCATATCTACATTACTCTAAAATGCTCATTGCAACAAAAAGAAAAAGAACGGACCATTCCAACTGTTAAACAGTGTAGTTTTGTAGTTTTCTTCACCACTGTGCTGAAGTCTCAGCATATGTCCAAAGATAGATGTCAAGACTTACATATTGAAGCTGGAGTCAAATGAAGCTGGCATAGAAAACAGCATTTTAGAAGCTATGCACTGTAGCCAGTCAACTTCAGTCAGCGGGACCCATCACAGAGTGTTTAAATGTTAGAGAGGTGAGAAGAGAGTCTGCAGTCACAGCCACACACTTTCTCAGCACTATCAGTAAGCTCATTAGAGACCTCGGATTGCTAAAGGAAAGAGCTCTAAAGCAGGTGCCTTGTGTGCTAACTGGGAGAGATTGCGAGATCAATAACCCAATAATACCATTCCACTCTTAAGCATATATACAAGCTCCTCACTCATAGATCCCTGATTCGTTTCTGTGAACCAGTGTTTATACACTACAGCTCTTGCATGTTCTTTGTATGTTCTCTAAAATAAGAAACAAATTTCTTAAACACAAAGCGAGCCTTAATCAGAGACTTTTGCTAAATTTCTCTGAAAATGGTTCTGCTTCTATCCTAGAGTCTTAAGCCCCATTTACACTACCCTTCAAAAAGCGATCCAGGTCGAGCTCTCGGTTCCTGGACTCCTCGCCTCCTAGTGACGATCTGCGGTATTACTGCCAGTATTAAAGGAGGAAAGCAAGCAGTTGGTGGCGGTAATGCACCAAAAGTTGTTTGCCAACCGCCATAAAACACAAGAAGAAGAAGACGAAGAAGGAGGGAATCAAGCAAATCAAAATGGCGGCGCCCGTCACACTCAGAAAATTATGCTTGATTATTATTGCTGTACCTTGGTGTTATTATTTAAAATGCCATTATTTAAAATGTTCCGTGGAGAAGATTTCGATTGTTGTTTATAGTTGAAGATGAAGTTGTTCTTCTTCTGTTTCGGGAGGGGCATTACCGCCAACTGCTGGAATGGAGTGTGAATCGCGATGTGCAGCCAGACGGAGATGACGCGTTCTGCTCGTGCGCTCTTGTTATCAGAGAACCGAGCCAAGGAAAAACCGAGCCGAGCCCACCTCTAGAACTGGTCTGCAGTTAGCGCGGTCCAGTTGTGTCTAGTTCGGTTCAGTTCAGTTTGCTTTCCATTTAAACACGATAAGTTATCTCAGTTACTGAGCTCGGCACGGTTTTTCAAGGGTAGTGTAAATGGGGTAGTAGTTGGAGGGCTGATGTTTTTAAGTAAATTGGGGCCTCATCCCCCTGGGTGCTTTCCAAGTCTGGTACAAATCAATACACATTTCCTTCAGTGTTTTTTTTTTTTTTTTTTTGTATCACATTTTCAAATATCACATTAGAGTAGTTTGATGGAAACACCAAAATCAACTCAACTGACTAAATATTAGACATAGTGTTTAATGCTTGCTCAAGGTTTTTGACATTTTTCATAAATTTCCCTTTTTTTAATACAATGGAAAGGACAAAGGTAAGAATCATATTGCTCTAGTGCGCAGACTATTGTAATTTTTTTTTTCATTTTTTGTTAGATTAAATCTCCTCAACCAATCTGTTGAACATTTTATCTTCAGTCAGCTTAGTCATTTGACTGAAAGTAAATGCCAAGAAGGTCAGGCTTCAATCAAATCACAAAACTAATTTTTGCCAGGAAAAGACTGATCAGTGAATTTCTGTTTAAAGTCAGTTTTTATTTATAGAAATGCTAGTTAAAAATTATTTCCAAACAATGAAAGTAGGCAAAAAAACACTGTAATACCAATAAAATCCTCAGTAATGTATAAATTCTCTTAATGTAAAGAGATCAGAAAACAAAAATTCAAGGTAACATTACAATTAGCATGACAAAAACCTGTTTAACTACAACAAACTAGAACAAGTTTAGGAGTTTGATTAATAGTTTGATTTACTTCTGATTTGCAAAGCAAGGTTATCATAAACTAACGAAATAACGATAAAATTAGAATTGAAAATAGGGCTGCAACAACGAATCGATAAAATCGATAAAAATCGACTTTAAAAAGCGTTGGCAACGAATTTAATCATCGATTAGTTGTGTCGCGCGATTAATGCGTCATCCGCCGCCGCCGTCATCCGGGGGAAGAAAAAAAATATGGCGGAGCGAGTCAGCGCCGCAGTTGCAGTGTTGCCAACTCAGCGACTTTTCAGACCCCTCCAGCGACTATTTTTCAAAAAAGCGACTAGCGACAAATCTGGCGACTTTTTTCGGTGTCACTGGCGGCTTTTGCCTGCCGTGGGGCGCCTCCCCCATCCCAACCCCTTTCTCCCTCTCAGCGCTGCAGTCAGAGCCGCAGGATTTTAGTGAGGAGTTTACCCTCAGCGTCCAGACTGCAAATGAAGCGCGCATGCGCCGGGATTGACGGCGCAAATTGATCACAATAATTAAAACAGCCTGCGCTTTGTAAAGTGAAAAAAGTCGTAACATGCAACTTTTGTAAAAACAAATGAACATGGCGCGGAGGCACCACTGTTATGACGCAGCACCTGAAAAGAAAACACGTTGGAGCCTCGATGGCAGTGAAGAGAGCTGATCAGCAGGATGAGCGACCATGTTTGTTTCATTTTAAAGTGGGGAAACGTAACGTTAGTTTCTCAGGTAGCTCATCTGATGCTTTCCTTACCTTGTTAGTAGGTTACAGACAGTAATAAGGTTGGCTACTTATTTTACTTTTAATTTCATTTGAATTAGCTTAAGCAGCGTTTATATTTTCTTTATAAATAAATTAACTTGCAAATTATGAGGGCAAGGCTTTTAAAGTTTAAATCTTCTGGCAAAGATAAAGAAGATCCTGCAATTTATGGAAGTAAAGCAGAATAAAATCCAGCAAGATCAGTAATATGTCAGTGAATTATATGCCACATTCCCATGTAAATATCTGTCTTTGGAGGATGTGTTTTTTAGCACCCCTAGTTCTCTCATTTTTATTCCAAATACAATTTATAATTTGAATCACAGGGCTATTTTTATCTCTATGGTTCAGTATTTTCTCAAGCAGCAACTTTAACTGCTATACTTTCCTGTCTTAAAAGGCAGAACTCTTCTAGTCTAAAAAAAACTCATTTGTTGAAATGGGGGGACCTATTGTTTGAACCCCTTAGGGGCTTTTAAAAACAAAAATGCCTGTCTTTTTTTGCGCTTTATGAAACAAAGTACCCTATATTTTGTGGATGTACAGCTACATTTCTCATGTAAGTTTGCGTAGTTTTAACACAAACATTTATTTTTCATATTGCACCAGTACAGTTAATGAGCAACCTGTACTTGTGTGCTTGTTTGTTCTGTCTAAAATGTTTATTTTGGAATAAAGAGGTTAATATAAAAAAATATTTTTTGTCCGATTCATCGATTAATCGAAAAAAATAATCGGCCGATTCATCGATTTTTAAAATAATCGTTAGTTTCAGCCCTAATTGAAAAACATTTTCACTAACTGAAAGAAACATTTAGTAATAAAATGCTTCTGGAGAAAGGGCTGGGGGCATGTCCCCTATTGAGAGATACGTCACTCATATTTCAGAGAACTGGGGTTAATTCCTTAACCTAAAGTTTTCGCTTTGTTTTGCTGCTCACTGCATTAAGCCAACAGATAGCAGATACAGCAGTTAGGTAACTTGTGTTGCTGCAGTAGTATGTCATCTGGGTTTTTTTTTTTTTTACTTTGGCCCCTACTGCTGTTTAGTGTAATGCTCATATTACATAAAAGACTAAAACGAGAACTGGAAACAATAAAAACTAAACTGAAACTAGGGAAAAAATAAAAATTAAACAAGCTAAAATATACTCTAAAAAGATTAAAACTAAATTAAATGGAAGATTAACAGTAAAACCTTAATGAAAGCCAATGGAAATTTCAAAATTGTTTAAACTTTGGTGCAAAGGCAGCTTGTTCTACAGATCACGCCCCTCCACTGAGAAGCTTGTAGTGTAATGTTCAATAAATTGGACATATTACCATAAGATTTAACCTTTACTTTTCTACATCTTAACATTTGTTTTGCTGCTATTATTCTGTCATTCTTTTACAAAGTTTCTTTTTTTTTGTTTCTCAGTTCCGTTGCTGGACCACCTATGCTCAGCTTTGGTTTATCCTGATGAAACGCTGAAGACCTCGGTGGTGAACGTTTGGCTGCAGCTGCTACGTACATCTGGAGACACTGGAGTGCAGTACCTTCCTATTGCCACCAGGGACCGACTATGCAGCCTGCTGTTGCAGACTCTTAACAATGCTAGCTCTGCTCAGCTCATTAAAAACTGTGCCGGTGAGAAGATAATGACACTTTTTGCCTTCTGTTTTTGCCAGTAGCGTGGGATCTACAGTTGTTTTTTTATGTTAGATTAACATGAACATTTTTTAAATTTATTGATTTAAATATTTTCACAAACAACAAATAGATACAGAAAATGTAAATCTATTGTGAATTTTTATTTTTTTTTGTAGACATCAAGCTTCCAGCTTCTTGCTAAGTTGAGCGACATGGTAGATTAATCTGAGTTAGTTGTTTTGTGAGGATGAGTCCAGGTTTAGGCATAGTCATAGGCAATTCCATAACCAAATTACATATTATTAAGATTTTAGAAGAAATAAACTTCTAAAATGCAACAACCTCAGCCTCATAATTACATTGAAGATTGTGCTTAAAAACCGTTTCATGGAAAGCAAGTCAACAGATTCCATTGAAATCCCCCATCTATGAAACAAAGAGGTATCAATACTCATTAAAAAAGATCTTCTTAAAGAAGACAAAAACAACAAGTTCAAGTGGAACCTGATGATTGACTTTAATTCAGGTCATATTTGATAAAGTAGAATCTAATTTAGTAACTGAGCTCACTAAGTGAATAATATGATGTTGATGAATTACCCTCTGACAGATGAATCCCTGCCTTTTTTTCTGGTAGTTATAATTTTCCCCTTAAAGTCAGTGATTAAGATCAGAATATTACATCAAACAGAAAAAAACACCACTAATACCTGCTTTTTATCCAGGCCTCATTACGTTATCATTTGATGAATTTAATTTGACTTTGTGATAAAAGATATGTGATTTTCTTTTTTAGTGTAGAGATTAGAGGACATTTGCAGTAGCTTTGAACATGTTCCCTCAATTTATGTTGAGGACAAATCAAAGGAAGGTATGACACTTTTTTGGGGGGTTTAAAAGTCAAAATTTACATATAAAACGAATAAAGCTTGACCTGTTTGAGGTTCTGGTTTGAACCGAACATGTAAAAAGTTTCCCTCACAAGATACCAGTGTAAATATAATTCCAGCGTCGCAGTTCCTCTGTAGCAGCAGAGTTTATCATTAATCTGACTGATTGATGAAGTAAAAGTTCACAACTTGTCATCTCTAGGCTGATTACAGCGAACTAATTAAAGTAAAAAAGCTTTCTGTCTTAGGAAAATGAGCAGATTGCATCACGTCATGGACTTTGTAGCGTTCCCTCTTCCTAGATGAGGATATGGACACACAGGACTTTCACTTGCATGGTGTGGTTCACTTTGCAGTGATCCTTAATAATAAGCATTCACTCAGCAACAGTGGGGAGGAAAAACTTCCTTTTAACAGGATAAAACCTCCAGCAGCTTAGTGTGAATGGCTGGGGGTTTGATAAGAGCTACTATTCTCCATATAAGTCTATATCAGTTCTAGTTTTGGATTAAGATATAGTAATTCTATATTAGATACATTATTATTATGTAACCCCAATGAGATCTGATAGTGATTTTCCTTGTTTTTACACTTTTGAAGCAGTGAGTGAGTGTCTGTTAAATTTCTATCTTGCTAGGCCTGCTCTGGCAGCTGGTCAAGTTGGAAGAAGCGGTGTCAGTTCTGATGAGCAGCTCCGGCAGTCAGCTCATGTGCGATGATTATGAGGACAACCTCGCCAACAACAGCCAGACCCTCATCCAAGAGCAACAGCCTGCTGACCACAGCCTTCTGCCTCTTTTGTTGAAAAAGGTCTCTGTCTAAACATCCTGCTCCCTCTCCCAAGACCCGAACTCTAACTCTGACTCGAATCATAACAAAAGCTCTAATCCTGGATTAATGTTCCTTTGAACAGGGATTCATTGAGGATTTTAGCCTTTACAAATATTTATGCTTCATGTCTGGGAAATCAATGTGTTGATTAGATTTGGTTGGATTTTCTCAGTGGTCACTCTCAGCTGATGATGTCAGGTGGTTTGTTTGGATTCCAACTATTTTGTTTGTTTATCTGAATGTATTTCTTTCAATATGATTAATAAGAGCATAATAAGCTGAAAATAATATATATATATTTTTAAACACAAGTGATCCTACCAAACAAACAGTGATTTCATCTGCCCGTGCCTATGTCAGCTGTGGCAAAGCAGTAAACTATAATTCTGAGTGGATGAACCCTGCTTAATTCTCCCCATGGGATAATAGACTCGGGTTTTGATGCCTTAATTTAAACGGCTCTGAAAAAAGTTGAAAAATGAAAAGGGGAATTATTAAAATTGATTGTTTTCTGGGGTCATCTTAAATGATTGATTCATTCAGAGACATAAAGTTTCAGAAAATTTAAAACAAGTACAAAAATAGTTTTTTTTTTTTTTTTTTTGTGCGATACTACCAAAGGATATAAAGTAAACTCTGCATGATCACAATAGTTTTATAGAAATGCTGTTTTCGGTTGCTGCCAACAGAATGCTGTTTTCTTTCACGTTTACTTCATCTCAAAACTAAGTTATATCACCTGAACAACTTGTATTAATGAAATAATAGAAGTTGTTCATACTTCTTTATTGTTCATAAAAAAAAGCAGAGGTCTAGTAATACAACGTATCATCAGGGGGAGGTGATCAATTCCTCTGCAGCTGGACATGTTTTTCCCTCTTATTCACTGTTTAACAGTTGGAATAAAACACTAAATTCTGTTTTATGTAGCTGTCTTAGATGTAGTAACTTGAACTATAAATGTAAGAATTCATGTATTTATAGCTGCTAATCCCCTTTTTTTGGAGTGGAAGCCAGCTGAGATTTATTGAAAGGGCAGCAAAGTGAGGTTGTGGTGAACAGAGCTGCTTTGCCAGTAACGGGTATTTTGGTGCCAAGCATCTTAAATTTCAAATTTAATTTGAAAGTTCATTTTCCAATGGATACTAATAAAAGTTTTCTGCTTTTTTCTTTTAGTTGCTGCTGAGTGGAGATGAGATGCTTCAAGTGATCAGTGCGAAGTGTATCGCTGGTGTTTTGGTTCATTCACCCAGTCAGTACTGCTCTGTCTGCATCAAGGCTGATTTATCAGGTAGCACACTAGAGTCATTTTTGAAGAAATGTCAGATAACGATGCCTAATCTTATTTTTATTTCTTGTCAAATAAATCAAATTGCAGTTAGGGGAGAAAATGCCTCTGTTTGATTTACTTACTTAAAAACCGTGCTATAAGTGAGGAAAATATAGGGCATGCCCTTGTTTTTGTTGAAATAATCTCAATAGGGTGTGTTACAGATGTATTACTAATCATACTGGGAAGGTTTGCCTCACTACTTATCTTTACCTGTGAGAGATTTTATTTCTTTAGTTTTTTTTTTTTTTTTGCATGTGGAACCAAATCTGTTTTGACCATTCCAGGGTTGTGTTGCAAGGTCCAGTTCCTCTGAACAATCATATGAACAGCAGCAAATGTAGAAGTAGATGGCAACAGAAAAAAATCCAGAAATAATAGGGAACTCAGGGTCCAAAACTAGGAAACAACAAGGTAGAAACATTGATAAGGGCTGAATCCCAAACTGCCCTCTAACCACTAATACTTAACTATCACATCTCACTCGCAATAAAGTCACACTGGATTGTACATAGGGGGGTATAAAAGTAAAGGGACAAAATTCCAGTGAGCTTACTCTAATGAAGACCCGCTATTTAAGGGGGGAACGGTCCATTCCCCCCTACCCACTTCGTGGTTTGGGATGAGTAGAACCACAGAGGAGGAGTATATATGGGAGACAAGAATGGAGTGATTAGCTAATTAAGAGCAGGAGTCGTCAGTAGGGATGGGGATCGAAACCCGGTTCCATCAAGGACCCGATTCCACTTTTTTCAAAACCCGAAAATCTATAACGTTTATGCTTATCGATACCACTATCGAGTCTGGTCGTTTTTTTTTCTCCCGGAGGTCCTGACATAATTGTGTGTCCCTCGAGTCGCGTCACAGCATTTAAATCTAATCAATCCAATCACTGCAGCATGTACACCAATGTTTTGGAATGAAATTGTAAGCAAACAGATATTAAAAGTAAAACAAGTGAAGTCTGGCACTTAACTTTGCTCGCGACTCGAGGATGGCTGAACGGAAAAGACTCCTCCTCCTCCGGCTGCTGCCGCCGCAGCACAGCCCGTCTTAATCATCCACTCAGAGTACCACTGGTAAACGCGCACACAGACTTTGTAGCTTGTCCGGTCAGTTAAAAATAGTAATTGTGAAATCCGTCTTGTAATCGGAAGCATACAAGCTAGTTAGCTTGAAAAGTAAATAAAGTTTCAGACGTGCTGCGTGATGATGTGTTCAGATTGGCTCAGTAAAACGACAATTAGGTTATCATGATGCGTTCAAGTGTAACGTAAAGAAAACGGGAAATTTAGTTTTTGGCGAGAAACATGAGTAATACAGTTGTATATTGTTGTTGTATATATAATTAAACTACTGATGCCAACATTTATAAAAAATTACATTTATTTTTTAAAATACAATTATTTATTTGTTAAATATTTTCCTAATCACTAAAAACATGATGAAAATTGACAGTAGACAATACATTAACCAACAATTGTGAAAATATATTCTAGTTACTTTTATGTCATTTCGAAGTGGCCTATTACATTAAAAATGTTTATTGAAGGCTAGAAACCTTTTTGTTATGCTCACTTGTTAAGCAATAAAAGCAATACCAGTTCTGTTAAAAAAAAGTTTGTTGCATCGTCTTTCCACCAAATAACAGAAAAGTATCGATAGTGGTATCGATAAAGACTCGGATCGATAAGGAGTATCGATAAAGGTATCGATATCAATAAATATTAACGATCCCCATCCCTAGTCGTCAGCAGCAGCTAAGGGGAAAGGAGACGGGAAACAAGGAGTAAACAGGGCTTAACTAAAACTGAAAGAGAACTTAAAAGGAAGCGAAACAGTATTTAGACCAATGTCTACAAAATAATGAACGACCAAGGGGAAAACTAGAGTTTAGGGGAAAGCACTGTAGATGATTGAGAAACCACCAAACAGGAATAGTAAAGCTAAGAATTAATTAAAAAATTATATAATTTTTAATAGTAACATCAGAATAACAAATCAAAGCCTAACTGAAAACCCAAAGTGAAATCTAAGCAGTACCAAAAATATCCTTCAGGATCATGAGTTGCTTTTTGGGAAAAGCTTGCTTGCTTGGCCTATCTATGGAAGTAAATCTGTGCCACTGGGATTTAAATTAAAAATGTCACTGAAATATAGATGTTGTATGTTTGTATTTACTCTTTCTGTGTTAAAATATATTCAGAAAACATTTCAACCAAAAAAAACATTTCAACCAAAAAAAACAAACATTGTCACTATATGTATTTAGTTGAAATTGTATTTATTTTCACTTCAAGGTAAAAATTCACATTACTGTTTCATAGTTAATACATTTTCAATACCTGTTTGTTTTTTTTTCAATTTGACTTTTCAGTGTTTAAATAAAAGCAGCATATAAAAAATTCAGCCTTTCAAAATTAAACTCAATATTTTCAGCCTCCTGAGATTCAACTGGCTCAATTTCACTGTGTTAAATTTGGCATCTAAATTCAATATAAAAGGGAAGGGTTACTTCAGGTCACAGACATTAGCAATGGATTGTGGTTTTCAAAACCCAGCCAATCCCGTTACAGTTTCTTAGTCACATGACGGGACGTTTTTGGCGCCCATACTGAAGGAAAACCAGCAGGCAAGCTAACGCATCGGTAAGTTTATTGCTTTCATTTTTCCGTAGTATTGCAGCAAGTTGCAATTGCAAGCAAGTATTGTAACGGGACTGGCTGGGTGTTGGACACCACAATCCTGCTAATGTCTGTGACCTGAAGTAACCCTTTAATTTTTACATTGAATTTAGACGCCAAATTTATTTTAACACAGAAAGAGTAAGTACAAACATACAACATTTATATTTCAGTGACATTTTTAATTTAAATACCAGAGGCACAGATTTACTTCCATACCTATCCTACACATGTTGCCAGATGTTTTAGTATCCCGCTCGTTTTATTCCCATTTCAAATTACAAATTAAACCACTCACCTTATAAGTTCACAACATTAATATTTTCTTTCTGAACACCTCCGCCAGCTTTCTTGATCTCCAGTATTACTCAATCTCGCTTCTGCTATGAAAAGCAATGAAAAAACTGATTGTTAAGGTATTTTTGTGGCAGGGCTGACCTGCTGAGTAATGTGTTTCCTATCCTATCATCTCCACCTGATGGGAGTACACCTGCAGCTTTTTGCTGCAGTTGCCCTGACCTGACCTTTTTCTTTCTAGGTGCCAAAATTGCATTTTACAGGTTCACTTTTATATATACAACAATTATGAATTGATTGCTTTTTTTGTTGCATGGGCTGCAGTGTGTCCATGTTTTTATGCCTTTATCTAATTTATTGTATTTTTCTTATTAAGTTAAATTACAAGTTTATAAATCAACTTCTCTCCTGCAGAATTTTAAACTTTTAGAGTTTTGCTTTGATTGCCTTTTTTATTACTTTTGTGTAGCTTGTATAAAAGTGTCTAATACCATTCTCCTGTTTGAAAATCAGTGAGGTGAAGATACCTTTGATTAGATTTAAGTCTGTTTATTGTGTCTCCATCTCTCTTAGGTTTCCTGTTTGATCGTCTGGCCAGCAGCACTAATGAGATGTTGCTGTGGTCCGTCTACAGTTGCTTGGTGGTATTGACTGAAGAACCGCTTTTCTTCTCCCAGTGTCACTCTGTATATGGTGAGACCCCAAAATTTACATTTGATGATTCTGTATAAAAAATCTCCTGCAAAAGATCTGGAGATAAGAAAATCTTGAAATTAGATCTGTTTTCAAAGCAGTTGTTTCATTATAAGATGATCAGGGATTTTCTTATTTTAGCCTCACCATCAGATTATTATTCTCTATTACAGTTAAACAAATTATAAAGGACTAAATTGTAAATGTGTAGCTCATAAATAATTGCTTGATTTAATTATTTGTTTTATTTTTAAGGTTTTGTAAAATATGAAATGGTCTTTCTCTCATATTTATCAGACTTGCTTTTATCATACAAACAAGATTCCTCATGTGTCTTCTGTGTATTTTGATAGAAGAACCCCCCCAGAAAAACGAAAAGAAAAGAAAAAATATATAATATAGCACGAGGGGTGCCACAAGCAAGTAGAAACAAAGTGTTTCTACTGAGTCAATTTCCTCCATAGTTGTCTAACTTTTCCTGTTCTCAGTCACAGACAATATGTCATTTTTTAAAACAAGAATATTTCCTCCATAATAACCCCCCACTGAGTCTGTTTCGGTTTCTTTGCTCAGTCATTGGGGAGGAAAATGAAAAAGAATGACTTAGCCAGAGAAGATGTTGAATAGAATTAGGAGAAGGAAAGTTGGGAAACTTGGGACTGGGCACTAAATAATACAAAGGTAGGAGGAAGAGGTAGAGGAACCTATCTGCAGTCACAGGGCACGGCCACATGGGCTATTTCTTTTTCATGTGATGTATTGCTTACTCCTTACCGAGTGGAATAAGCACAGTAATTATACAGACAGACTTAGGAACTAGTATTCTTTTTAACTGTCATCAAATGAGTGTTGGACAGTCTCTAAGATGAATGTTGTTTTATTAACGGAATAAATAAATACTATATCATAAAGGCTGTTTTACGCTAGGCTGACATTAGCTTAGAGTTAACTTAGTGTCGGACATGTTGGGTTCTTTTGGGGCATTCCAGAATATTGGTAAAATCAAATTTGATTTTACCAACATCATACAGAGCATAATAAAAAAAAAAACATTTAGGGGCCATTTGCATCAAACAGAAAGGTTGAAAATGGTGTAAAAACAAAAATATAGGGGAACAGCTTGGAACTTCTGGCATTGATTTTTGGTATATTGCTGCACCTTGTGACACACAAAGTTACTGTTGTGCTAAGACAAAGAGACCTAGAAACAAAATACAAAGGAATGAAATAATATGGAAACACGCCACTAATAATGAAAACACACAAAGGGAAAAGAAAACCAAACAGCCATGAGTCATCATAATATTTTATATTTAATATTTATCCAACCTTTAGTGTGACTTTAATTTTATTTCAATGATTTCATCTTTGTTTTTATTTATTTTTTTGGCTTTATGGCCAAAAGCAGATTTTTTTGGATTAAATGTATTTTTTCAAGCCCTCTTTATTGAATTCTTCCTATCTTTTTCCCCCCCTTTTTGTTTTATCTTTGTTGTCATTTTTAGCAATATTATCGGTCAATCAACACAGCTGCCTCTGCTCAGTCTTTACTTTACAGTTATGGGAAGTTAAAAGTCTTTTACTTTTCATGGCATCCTATTTGGGTAAAAGCACAATAACTTCATTGACAGAGTTTGGGGAAAGAGTTTTAAAGCAAAGTTTTATTTCTTACATTCAACTTTAAACATATTTTATTTGTCATTTATTTTACACAAGTGTAAAACAAAAAGAAATTTTGTTTGGAAACAGCTCACTGGACAATTTCATCTTTTAAAAGTGCAGCAATAAAAATAGTAACAGGGCAGATCACTACTCCATGAAGCAAAGTTGAATATGTCATAAGACACACATACGCACTGAAATACTTATAACCGCTATTTGCTTTCAAATATATATTATGCAAAATAAAAAGGATCAGAGTTAAAGTTAAAGCATTTGCAATAATCAATAACTAATCCTTAAACCTCAGTCTTGGATTGAGACTGTTGGTCATCATTTCACTTGTTTAAAGCTGTGCTGTTAGACTGAATTTGTTAATATTTTGATTTGGAAATGCTTTATCCTGACCTGGAAAAGGTTTCCATCAAGGAGAGTTTTTCTGCCATGATCATACCTTTCTTCAAGTTATTGTTGCTGTTGGATCATCTTTATGTAACACAGTACGCAGACTAGTGATTGATTAGATCATGAAAGGTTTGGTATGTCCTGCCAAGAGCTGCAGCTCTCCAGCAAGCAGGAGGTTTTGTTCCTCCTAACTTCATCCAACATAGTACTTTTCTGTCATTAAGATACTTTGTTTACAATAAATACGGTTAGATTCAGTAAAAGGTCATCATGAATATTAATTTATAGTTAGTTTTTTTGGTTCAAGGATATGATCTTTTCAGAAGATGGAGAAATTGGTGAACTGCACTGGTTTTAGTTAACAGATTCTAATGGTAGAAAGAGGCAGTGCTATAAACTAGGGCTGAAACTCACGATTACTTTGCAAATTGATTAACCAGTTGAAATTTTTTTTTGATTAATCGATTAATAATCGGATAGCAAAAGGTTCCTTAAAGAAGACCTGTTGCGAAATTAAACCAGGGGAAACTAAAACTTTTCTACTTGAGGAATTTGGTTAGAGCATATTGACAGACAAAAAAGATTTTTATATTAAATGCTAAATGTTTTGGTATAATTGCTGCTCAAGGTTGTTCCTCTGTTAGCTTAAGTCATATTTTAGAGTCTCTACACTCCAGTTAACGATTAATCTATTACTAAATTAGTTGACCGTTATTTCAATAATCGATTAATCAAGATTAATTTTTTCAGCCCTACTATAAACCAATCAATACAATCAATATATTTTCATCTGTCCATTTTAGTTACTTTTCAGAGCCTAAGTTGCATGAAATAATAAGAGTTATACATCATGAAAATATATTTAATCTTAGAAGTGCAATACAGTGCAGGGTTCAGGGAAGGGGTGTTAGCAAGTGAAATTGAAATCTAACCCTTAATCTTCCTGTAGTCCTTAAAACCAACAGTCTTCCTGGTTCATATTTAATTTATGAGTCCATGCAACTCAAACAGTTAATTAAGTGAGCAAAAAAAATTAGTTTATGCATATTAAGTGAGCACGCATATACACATTAACACGTGCGTACATACAACTTCCATCCATCCATCCTTTTTCTGTCACGCTTATCCCTGCTGGGGTCGCAAGGGTTGCTGATGCCGATATCCAGCTGTCAATTGGAGAGAGGTGGGGTTCATCCTGGACAGATCACCAGCCTATCGCAGGGCAACCAACCATTCACGCACACACATTCACACCTAAGGAGAATTTAGACAAGCCAATTAACCTAACAGTCATTTTAATGGGGACCAGGAGTCCCATTACCCCATGAGATACACTATATTGCCAAAAGTATTTGCTCACCCATCCAAATTATTGGAATCAGGTGTTCCAATCACTTCCATGGCCACAGGTGTATAAATTCAAGCACCTAGGCATGCAGACTGTTTTTACAAACATTTGTGAAAGAATGGGTCGCTCTCAGGAGCTCAGTGAATTCCAGCGTGGAACTGTGATAGGATGCCACCTGTGCAACAAATCCAGTCGTGAAATTTCCTCGCTCCTAAATATTCCACAGTCAACTGTCAGCTGTATTATAAGAAAATGGAAGTGTTTGGGAACGACAGCAACTCAGCCACGAAGTGGTAGGCCACGTAAACTGACGGAGCGGGGTCAGCGGATGCTGAAGCGCATAGTGCGAAGAGGTCGCCAACTTTCTGCAGAGTCAATCACTACAGACCTCCAAACTTCATGTGGCCTTCAGATTAGCTCAAGAACAGTGCGCAGAGAGCTTCATGGAATGGGTTTCCATGGTCGAGCAGCTGCATCCAAGCCATACATCACCAAGTGCAATGCAAAGCGTCGGATGCGGTGGTGTAAAGCACGCCGCCACTGGACTCTAGAGCAGTGGAGACGCGTTCTCTGGAGTGACGAATCGCGCTTCTCCATCTGGCAATCTGATGGACGGGTCTGGGTTTGGCGGTTGCCAGGAGAACGGTACTTGTCTGACTGCATTGTGCCAAGTGTAAAGTTTGGTGGAGGGGGGATTATGGTGTGGGGTTGTTTTTCAGGAGCTGGGCTTGGCCCCTTAGTTCCAGTGAAAGGAACTCTGAATGCTTCAGCATACCAAGACATTTTGGACAATTCCATGCTCCCAACTTTGTGGGAACAGTTTGGAGCTGGCCCCTTCCTCTTCCAACATGACTGTGCACCAGTGCACAAAGCAAGGTCCATAAAGACATGGATGACAGAGTCTGGTGTGGATGAACTTGACTGGCCTGCACAGAGTCCTGACCTCAACCCGATAGAACACCTTTGGGATGAATTAGAGCGGAGACTGAGAGCCAGGCCTTCTCGTCCAACATCAGTGTGCGACCTCACAAATGCGCTTCTGGAAGAATGGTCAAAAATTCCCATAAACACACTCCTAAACCTTGTGGACAGCCTTCCCAGAAGAGTTGAAGCTGTTCTAGCTGCAAAGGGTGGACCGACGTCATATTGAACCCTATGGATTAGGAACGGGATGTCACTTAAGCTCATATGTGAGTCAAGGCAGGTGAGCAAATACTTTTGGCAATATAGTGTATGATTGTTGATTTTGTGTTATGTCAGGGGTCTCAGTATTTCAATTCAAATCCTGCTTTCTGTCCATGCCATTTTTAAAGCAAAATGTCATCTCTATAGCGTCCTTGGAACCTTAGATAAATGTCTTTATTCTGGTGGTCCTTCATGCATTCCCTATGCCTTTCTTATATATGTTTTTGAACAAGAACCCTTGAAATCTGACTGAACATTGCTGCCAGTACAGAATAAATATGTAAGCAGGGAAAATATCTGCTGCTTGTTACTATGTTGATACTGGATTCTGTTGCTAGATCAGTATGAAAAGGAGCTCATTATAACAGCGTCCATGTAGCAGTAAATTAGAAACACGGATCATTGCCGCCGTACAAAATGAATGAAAATGAGAGTTCCTAAGTGCATAAAATCTGATGTATGTAAAGAAAAGAAGGTTTTAGTTGATCTTTTATAATATGAAGAGTGTCAGAACACTTGTGCAAGATGAGACGAGTGTTTTTGGCTGCTTATGTTCACCAGTTGTGTTTTTGTCGTGTGTGCTAGGTATCGAGCACCTGGTGCGCAGTCTGAAGGAGGCTTTGCAGCTGACCAACCTGGAGGTGCCAAAACAAGGTTTTCTACTTCTCACTAAAATACTTGAAAGGTGATTTTTTTTCTCCTTAAAAAAGTATTTTTATAAGCTGTTGTGATGTAATATTTATTTATCTGTTAAATTAGTCAAGCCAAGGTTTCAAGTCGAGGTTTACTTGCAAATTTACTAAAACCACAGTACCTGAAATTCTCTTTTGAAATTGAAATTCGTATGCTTAAGAGTGGGGGACATTTATACATTTTGGGGAGGATTATTAGTTAATGACTACATGTCTTATGTTGTGCTAATCATACCTCAGATTAATATGTGGTTTTCATTTTCAATCTTTTATCTTCCTAGCTGTTGTTTCTGCACCCCTTTTTTGCTGTTTCCCTTGCATGATCTCTTTTTTTCTCCCCCGCTTAATGGTGGGGTTAAGGAAGAACTTCTTTTTTTAGGATGGAAAACCTTCCAGGGAAAAAACTTTGAAGGTTAACTACGCAGCTTAATATATTCTTACCTCAGATCAATGCAAAAAAATATGCAACATTTTGCTTTGGTCATTTTGTTTTCTGCAACAAAGTGAGCAGTTTTAAGAAGCCCCGTTATTTCATCTTCGGGCTGCACTTCCGCATCGTGGATAGCTTTTGACATTGTGCCTGCATCAAGTTTCCTTTTCACTGCTGCAGTGGGAGAAACGCCGCCAGAGTGGGAGCGCACAGTTGATGTTTTACAGTTTTGGCTGGTAAAGGGTCCCAGACCGTACATTTCACAGATGGACAGCTTTTGATAGATTTGCTTTTTAGCCAGCAATCTATATTTGGAATATTTTAAATGTTGAAGAGAAAAAAAAATGTTTATACATATTAAATAATATATAACATATAAAAATTCAATATGAAAAACACTGGTTTGCTAGCCAAAAACTGAACTGTGCTCTTAGAGAGGAAGAAAAAAGGAAAGAAGAAGAAGAGTGTGCAAGAGTGAATGGCGGAGATGTTCTTCTTCGTCTAAATATGAAAACGTTCGCTTTCGTAGCTACACATTGCTGTGATTTTTTTTTTTGAGGGAAAATCTGACATTATTAAAACCGTATTTGCGGGGATGGATCAGATAATAATTTCAGGCCTTGAAACCTCAGCTGATCAAAGTGCTTGACAGCAATCACATCAGAATTCTGCGGGTCATTAAAAATCAATAAATGTCATTAATTATTATTTTTCTAATGAAGGCCTTAATTGGCATTAAAATTTATTAGATATGATTATCATGGCATTTAAATGCTTAATTAAAAAAAAAAATTATAAAAACAATTTCGTCAGATATATAATATTGCGATATGTTTGCGTGGAACTGCTTCCGGTTGATCATAAAGCCGTATGTTTAGAAAAGAAGCCAGAGGCGGAGAAAAATCTATAGAATGGGGAAAATGCACATTTCAACAAAAGAAGCTAGAAAACGAGGAATTCGGGACACGGCTGCAACCTGTCGGCAGTAAAGATGACGAAATATTTTGCAGTTATATATATATATATATATATATATATATATATATATATACACTATATTGCCAAAAGTATTTGCTCACCCATCCAAATTATTGGAATCAGGTGTTCCAATCACTTCCATGGCCACAGGTGTATAAATTCAAGCACCTAGGCATGCAGACTGTTTTTACAAACATTTGTGAAAGAATGGGTCGCTCTCAGGAGCTCAGTGAATTCCAGCGTGGAACTGTGATAGGATGCCACCTGTGCAACAAATCCAGTCGTGAAATTTCCTCGCTCCTAAATATTCCACAGTCAACTGTCAGCTGTATTATAAGAAAATGGAAGTGTTTGGGAACGACAGCAACTCAGCCACGAAGTGGTAGGCCACGTAAACTGACGGAGCGGGGTCAGCGGATGCTGAAGCGCATAGTGCGAAGAGGTCGCCAACTTTCTGCAGAGTCAATCACTACAGACCTCCAAACTTCATGTGGCCTTCAGATTAGCTCAAGAACAGTGCGCAGAGAGCTTCATGGAATGGGTTTCCATGGTCGAGCAGCTGCATCCAAGCCATACATCACCAAGTGCAATGCAAAGCGTCGGATGCGGTGGTGTAAAGCACGCCGCCACTGGACTCTAGAGCAGTGGAGACGCGTTCTCTGGAGTGACGAATCGCGCTTCTCCATCTGGCAATCTGATGGACGGGTCTGGGTTTGGCGGTTGCCAGGAGAACGGTACTTGTCTGACTGCATTGTGCCAAGTGTAAAGTTTGGTGGAGGGGGGATTATGGTGTGGGGTTGTTTTTCAGGAGCTGGGCTTGGCCCCTTAGTTCCAGTGAAAGGAACTCTGAATGCTTCAGCATACCAAGACATTTTGGACAATTCCATGCTCCCAACTTTGTGGGAACAGTTTGGAGCTGGCCCCTTCCTCTTCCAACATGACTGTGCACCAGTGCACAAAGCAAGGTCCATAAAGACATGGATGACAGAGTCTGGTGTGGATGAACTTGACTGGCCTGCACAGAGTCCTGACCTCAACCCGATAGAACACCTTTGGGATGAATTAGAGCGGAGACTGAGAGCCAGGCCTTCTCGTCCAACATCAGTGTGCGACCTCACAAATGCGCTTCTGGAAGAATGTTCAAAAATTCCCATAAACACACTCCTAAACCTTGTGGACAGCCTTCCCAGAAGAGTTGAAGCTGTTCTAGCTGCAAAGGGTGGACCGACGTCATATTGAACCCTATGGATTAGGAACGGGATGTCACTTAAGCTCATATGTGAGTCAAGGCAGGTGAGCAAATACTTTTGGCAATATAGTGTATATATATATATTTAAATTATTTTAAGAGCATTAAAAAGCATTAAATTAGAGTTACTTATTCCTGTATAAACCCTGAAATAAAACTATGCTGGATCCAAAAATAATTTAAACAATAATTACAATTGCTATTAAAATGCCGATATATGCATAAAAACCAGGACATACTTTATTTCATTTTTTGTCAATTTTCCAAAAAACTTGGATAAATTAAGTGCTCATTTTTCCCTTTTGTCTTTCTTTATTTGAACTGTTGTTAAAGGCCCTAGAAGGATGCGTTTTCAGCCTGGTTTTAAACTAAGGTGCTGAATGAGAGCATAACAGGCAGGGGGCGACTGTTCCACTGTCTGGGTTTAACCTGACTTTAGGGAAAGACAGCAAAGCTGGTGGGCTGACCTCAGGACTCTGAATGGAGGGAAGGGCTTCAAGAGCTAAATTAAGTAAGATCGTCCCATAGAGTCTAGACACTTAAAATCAATCAATAAAACCTTAAATTCCACCAAAATGACAACAGGGAGCCACTGAAGGCTGCACAAAATGGGAGTAATAGAGTCACGCCTCCTTGGTGTACAAAAATTGCTCTCAACTATGTCTGTGAGTTATTTAGACAATCCTGTAATATGTGAACAGCAAAAACAGTCCAAAAACAGTTGACAGTCCAAAAATATTCTAGCGAAATGGTTGGGTTTACTGTTGATAGAGATGCAATAGAAAGGCTTTTAAATAAGCTCTAAAGATTTATGTTTTGAGTCACATGATGAATGAAGCTATTTGGAGAATAAATTAGAAGAAAAAGGATGTCTCAAATTCAGTGAAATATTTTTTTAAGTCTATTTTAGTTTACTCATGTCCTTAAGTATGAAGTACAAAATTATACCTGGAAAAAATGGCTAATTGTGTAAAAGCAACTAAAAAGGTCCAGTCTCCTTTACAGTTCATTTGGCTTTTTACCTTAAGGCAATTCAAAGTTGTTGTTTTTTTATTTATCCTTTAATTTCAACCTTTTCTATATAAATTATCCCTGAGTGCCATTTCTAGAGAAAGTAATTGTCTATAGTTGTTCTGCTTAAGCTCTTGAACACACACAAATAAAAGGTTTTAGAGTGAAAGAAAGGTAAGGAAACCTAAAAATAAAGTCAATGGATTTATATCTAAACCTAATATAAAACATATCTGCTTGTAACCTTATTTATTGTTGTCAATACTTTAAATCTTCTATATATTTCAGGGGGAAAAAAATTGCCAAATTGCATATTAACATTTGCCTGCTCAGCTTCATTGAACTGGAGTTTGAAAAGCCCAACTAATTTATCCAGATCCCAGAGTTAGAATTGCTCAGCTTATGTTTGACTGGCAGTGTCCCAGTAGGTCTGCCAGATCCATCTAAAATTCCCTATGTGCTTCATTTACTGGAGCGGGCCAATGTGTCAGCAGTCAAACTAATTTTACAACTAGGATGGAGATGTTGTTGACTACTGCTCCAAGGACCGATGAAAAGAAAAATAGAGCCCTGAAGACAGCTGGCTCTCTAACTGTTGACACCAACGTCTTCAAATAACCCAGCATGTCACAAAGAAAGGGTTGGACACCTTGTTTTTCTAAAACAAGATGTGGATAACAGTGGTTTACCTGGTGACAAGTCTTTGAGCCTTTGTCAGTTGCTTTGACCTTGAAGTGATCGGTTCGTTGGTTCCACTTTATGTTAACTTTTAGTTATTTTACTTGTACATTTTGTCAGCATTACACAGGTTACTGTGTCTACTAAACAATATTTGAGTAGTTTTTGTTATTAAGTGTTTTACAAGTATGGTGTTTTAGGATTCTATGGTTTTGTTTTTTCAATAATATCGTACAATATCATGTATTCTAAAATTTCATGTCTACCTCTAACTTTTTTTTTTTTTTTAACAACAACCGCTTTGGTTGCTGATGGCTATACCTGATAAACACCTACCAGCAGTTTAAGCCAGTTTTCTGGGGAAACCCTGAATAATATTGGTTTGTGTGCGTGATGGATTTCTTTTTATTACTTCAGGCCTTGGGCCTGTTTATAAAAGCTACTTACCTGGAATCGTCTATTATTAAAAGGGTTACGAAACATCCAAATTTAGCTAGTCATTTCTCACTGTTATCTCTCCAAAAAAAAAAAAAAAGCCAGAGAATTTATCTAAGTGAAAAAAAGTTTGGTGGTATTTGCCAATCATTTTAACGCAACATGTTACACCAGATGACTGATAATTCCGTGCTCTACTAGTAGTTGAATTT